GGTAAAGTGATCATAATGAATTGAACATTGTTACTTATTTACATTGCCGTGTGTGATTTAGCGTAGGTAAAAGAAAGTGAGAAGAGTAATGAGCTGAGCTTAGCATCAATCACCAAAAATATTTACAGGTAATAGTGGAGATATCCTATTGTGTTCTAAATTTTCTAGCTAGTATGTACACAAATAAGATATGGTTGTAAATTATTAATATAGATAGTATCAAATATAATTTAGTATGAACAAATATTATGATACCAAACTATGTTTTAAAAATTAATTTTAATGGGATTTTAAATTATATAGTTTAATTTAATATATGAAACATAGCAGAACTTCTTGTTACTTCTTAAAATCGGATTTGAAATTGATGTCAAAATATTTTATTTTGATTTTCTTAGATTAGTCATTTTATAATAAATGATAAATATGGAGTTTGTGAATATGAAAAAAAAAATTACCTATTTGGGTTGAAAACGTTTTGAATAGTTAATGTGACATCTTTAACTCATAATAGTATATGTTTATGGGCTAAGAGTGTTACATGAAGAAGCTAAAAAAATGATTTGGGAGCTAACTACAGCTCCTACCACTCAAACGTTGTTGTGTATAACCTTTCCTCAAGGCAAAACTCCATTCCAATTAAAGACATGACTTATTCATCTTCTTTCTGCATTGTACGGTCTTCCTAATCAAAATCTACACAAACACTTGACGAAATTCCACATGGTTTTTTCTAACATGAAACCACAGGGAGTTTCTAAAGACCAAATAAAACTCAGAGCTTTATCTTTTTCCTTAGCCGATTTGGCTAAGGAATGGTTATTTTATTTACCTCTAAAATTAGCTAATTCATGGGCTGACATGAGTTGAATTTTTCATGACAGGTACTTCCTAGCAGTCAAAGCAAGTGACTTACGAATGAGCATTCTTTTAATATGACAAAAGAATGAATGAAGTCTTTATGACTACTGGGAGCGATTTAAGAAGCTTTGCATAAGTTGTTTGCAGCACGAATTAATCGAGTAAACATTACTTCAATACTTTTACGAAGGACTGTTGCCTTAGAGATAAAAATGGTAAATGCTGCTAGTAAAGGAGCATTAGTCGATGGGTTCATGAGATAAGTACATTTTCCATTGAAAATAAATTAGATAAATTAACTGAAGTAGTTAATTCGTTTATTGCCAGAAAATCTAAAGTAATAAGAGACCATACAACTTGTATGGAAATACATACAATCCGAGATGGCGAGACAATTCGAACGTCAATTATGCATAAAACTAGAAGCCGACATATCAACCGAGGCCACTTCCATAACAACAGTAGCAAAAACCATCATTGGAGGCGATAATGGAGAAGATGGAAATTTCTGAGAAACTAGTTACTTCCCAAGAAAAATTCCAAAGCCGAACTGAAGCACATCTTCAAGAGTTGAACAAGAAAATGAGACAACTGGCTTAAACCGTGGAGAGATTAGAGTCGTAGGGAAGACTAACTTCTTAAATGGAGTCAAATCTGATAGAAAATGTTAGTGCTATCACCTTCCAAAGTGGAACTGTTATCACACCTGAAGTCCTAGTGGAGAATGTCGCACGTTCCAAAAAGAGGAAGGAAACGCCACCTTCCTACATCCAAGGTACATCGTCATCGCCAACTCCTCCTCCTCCTCATGAAATCACACCACCCTTCCCATCAAGATTGATGAGGCATGACAAAAGAGACGAAGAAAAGGAAATCCTAGAGGTGTTCCAAAAAGTACAAGTCAACATACCTCTCTTTGAAGTAATTCGATAAGTGCCGAGGTATTATCGATTTTTAAAGAAGATTTGCTCCACAAAGAAGAGACTGATTGGTCATGAGAAAGTAAATATGGGAGGACATGTCTATGTAGTATTTCACCAAAGATGAATGATCAATGTATGTATGCTATATCTTATAAAATAGTAAATATTTTAATTAAACGTGCAATGTACGACTTAAGAACTTCAATTAATGTTATGCCACTTTCTGTTTATAATGTGATTACTAACGAGCCTTTGAAGGAAACAAGAGTAACTATCCATTTGGTTGATCGTTCTGTTATATACAAGAAGGGAGTACCACTACAAGAAATTTCTATTATTGTGGCAAATTTAATTTTCTCAAAATTAATTTTGTCACTATTAGTAGCTTTTTGGTGACAAAATAAATAATCGTCGCATTAGATTAAAAAAATATATACAATTATGACAAAAGTTAAAATCGTCATAATAATTTGCCACAATTAATAAACATGTGTAACATATTTGACAAAATAAATTTTATTACTAATTTTTGTCATAAATTTTCCCTCCAATTTTTTGGCACCAAATGGAAGGCTTACAGTGACAACTTTTGTAACTAAAAGTTTTAGTAACTATGACAGGAAAATTGTCACAATAAATAATGAGATTTAGATTTTTTGTGACAAAATGTATAGTCACAAATGATTATCTCCTATTTTTTGTAAAAAAAATCATATAGTGACATGTTTTGTAACTTTAAGCTATAATTATTGTTACAAAACAATTGTCACAACAAATAAAGAGATTCAAGTTTTTAGTAAAAAACAATGTTTGTTGTTATATTGTTTTAATTATGCTGACAAAATATACAAACATAAAGATTTCCCTCCATATATTTTTGCGCCAAAAAAGTCATTTATTGGGAAATTTTGTAACTATAAGTGTTAATAATTATTACAAAAAAACATTGTAAAAAATAATGATATTCACGTTTTTGTGACAAATTATATTTGTAGTTATAAATTTTAACTATAGTGATAGCATATATTAATTATCATAACTATTTTTCTTCACTTTTTTGTTCCAAAAGTTATATTGACAATTTTTATAATTATAATTTAGAATCATTGTTATAGAAAATATTATTACATCAAATAATAAAACTCAAGTTTTTTGTAATAAATAAAAATTTATGTCAAATTTATTTTGTCACAATATTTTTTCAAAATAAAAAATTCTAACAAATTTATTTAATCAAAATAATAATTTATAACAAATATTAATTTCTCATCATAAAAAATTGTGACAAGTAATATTCGTTCATAATAACAAAATGCAACAAAATGATTTAGTCACAATAACAAGTTAAATTTAGTCAAAGTAAACAATTATGTCAAATTTATTTCGTCCCAATATTTTGTCAAAATAAAAAATTGTGACAAATTTATTTAATCAAAATAACTATTTATAACAAATATTAATTTCTCATTATAAAAAATTATGACAAATAATATTCTTTCACAATAACAAATTGTAACAAAATTATTTAGTCACAGTAAAAAAAATTTATAAAAAATATTTTGTGTTGAAATAAAAGTAGTGAGAAAATAAATTTTGTTGTAATATGTCTTTTTTGTCACGAAAACCTTTTTTTCATGAAAATATTTTTTGTTTGATGTTATAATTTATCTTAATTGTGACGAAATTTACTTTTTGTGATAAAATAATTATTTTATTTTAACAAATATTTTTTCTCTGTAAGTTACATTTAGTGACGAAATAGCAATTGCGAGAAAATAATTTTTGTTGCCTTTTGTGGTTCGTTTGCCAATGCAATCAGATTATTCGTAGTTATTTTTGTTCGAGTCATTTGGTTTATTTTTTAACTTTTTCATGTATGGCCCTTATATGATCTAAATTGGTTAGTTTCAATATTATAGGAAAAGTCCAAATTATGTATTTAGTTTTCGAAGATAATTAAATTCTTATTGTAATTTAAGATATTTTTACTTTTTAAAAATACTAGTTGTTGCTATTAAAAAAAGTACTAGCATGATGTAAGTTAACTCTTGGATCAAAAAAATGAGAGCATTTCGATAAAATATTTTATTATTTATTATAATTATTAAATATTTAATTTATTAATTGAATAATTCGATATCGAACTGAATAGTATTTCTCAAGTGTTTGCCCAAATTCACACCTATATGCATGCATTGGACTTATCATACTTCAATTTCGGCCACCCTATATAAATTCCCCAAATATTCTTTCTCTTTATAATTAGGTCAAGTATGTACGTGAGGCTATCATGCAACATCTAATTAAATAATGCCACATATTCAAATAAATATTTGAGTCTAAAATACACATATGACTATATATTTTTCAAGTATAACAATGAATTTTTAATATTTTAAAATTATTAAACCTATTATGGTCATATTAACATGTGACAAATATCTTTTATTCTAAATCAATTAATAAATAACAATATATTTTTTTTATCTCATTCCTTAAAATTGAAAATAAAATCTAATGATATAATACATACATGCATAAAAAATGTGCACATACCATATACATTAAAATAATATAAATGTCATTGTTTATAAACAAAACTTAATCTATTGCCAATAGCCCATCCTTATATTCACTACTGACATAAAGGTCCAAAACAACAGAAAATCACAACCATACATACAAAATAGAAATTAACCAATAAACTAAACAAGCTTGCTAAGTGATTAAATTATCAAATAACCAAAATTACAGGTTAAATGCGAAAATGAACAAAAATGAAAAATAACATAAACTCAGGACTAAAATATAACATGAAAAAATTTAATGGTCAAATGTCTAAAACATCAAAAATTAAAGAAATTAACACTAGGAGTAAAATTAAATGCGCATAAAATAAAAAGACAAAATTGTAAACATGTAAACCTTGATTTGTGGACCAAAATGAATTACAAAGAAAATATGAAGACCTTTAGCTCAAATAACCCAACAATTATAATTGAAACCTAAATCTGGCAAAAAAAACAAAATCAGAACAGATAGAAAAGGATAAATTCGAAAACAGTCCTTGGCAGTGACTAAAATGAAATAAACACTAAAAGTGGAAGAAACAAAACATAGTTTTACCTCTAAGTTTCGGTAACTAAACCCCAATTTACCCAAAAATTAATTTATAACCTAACTAAGAAAACCCTAAACTAAACCTAATCACTCTTATCAACAAGCTCAACCGTTTAACACTCTTCTCTCTCAAAGTCACCCCTCGGTCGAAACTTACCAGAGCCTCCATCACCGTCGGTCGTCGGTGGTCTCCTCAGTGATTACTCTTTGCTACGGCCACCTACCACGCTAGTAAGGTAAGCTACACTAAACCTAAGACTTACTAAATCGTTCCCTCTACTCTTCTTTTCAAACCGAAATCTCCAAGACTCTTCACGCCGGCCACCTTGCTTAGGTGGCCACGTCCATCTCCGGCTATCCCCTAAACCACCCAGTGAAAACCCTAGGCCATCTTAAACAAATTGAGATGCCTCATGGTGACTCACTCATCCGATACCTACTCTTAATTAAGACTCACCCAAACCCCGAAATAAACACCCTTATTTTATGTCTAAACCCCGCGTCTCTCGATTGAGGGAAACCTAAAATCCCCTAAAATAGCTTTCAAACTCCCACGCTCCTGCCCCATCTCCAACGATAGATGGCTCAGGTAAATCTCTCTCTTTCTCCGTTTTATTGGGTTCACAGAAAAATAAAACAAATATATCCACTGATTTTTTAGGATAGATATAAAAAATACCTCAAATACGAAAATGGGTTTTATTAATTACTTTGCTTTTGTTACAAAGGAAAACAAAAAAGAAATGTGGTGTATTGCCATTGATCCTCTATTTTCTTCCCGAATGGAATAATGGAATATTCCCCGTTTACAGTTTGTTTCCCCCTTTTTCTTGATGAAAATTGCCTCTTAATGAAAAAATGGCTTCCTCCTGTTCGAATGGGAACTAGGTAATATAATAGCTCTCTCCTGCTCCTCCTTGTTACCCATAACCGTTTTTTTTATCCCCTTATTACTGGTCACCAATCTGTTATTTTGCTGGTGAATAAGCCCGAGGGGACCCGTTGTGCTTGCTGAATGACCAGTTTGGTGACGAGGCTTGGTGGGACCAGCTGAGACTACTCACATGGAGGATAGGAACCCGGACGAAATTAAGGTATAACAGAACCATCTTGGGTTACAAGAGGTAGTAAAGCTTTGAACTTTTTGTATTACTTCCAATTCATTTTTATTTATCTTAAGCTCTTCTTTTTCTTTAGAAATTAGAGAAAGATTGTATAGAAATTGAATGTTTCGTTTTTGTATGAGTAAAATTAGCTAATCTGATGTGTTTGATTTCCTTTCATATTTTGTGTTTATTGGCTAAGAAAGTGTTTTGGAACAAAGTATGGGATTGTAAACTAGATGATTCAACGTGTTCTTTGAATTGTTTTTCTTCTTTTTGTTTCCCCCACTTTTGGATTGTTGCTTATGATTTCTCTTGTGCTGGTGGTTGTTACGTCAAAGTCGAACCAGTACCCTAACACTTCACTAATCCAGATCGAGGGGGTTAACACCAAGGAGGAAGTGGCTTAGTACGCCGACAAGCGAATGGCTTATATTTACAAGGCCAATGTGAAGAAGAATGGCTCGCACTATCGCTACATTTTGGTCAATGTAGCCAGGCTCCATGGTAACAGTGGTGTTATAAGTGCTAAGTTCAAGCCCAACCTTCCCCCAAAATCCATGGTAAGTGTGTTATACTGTTGTTATTCATTGGGTGTATGTACATTTTTCTTTTAATCTTATGTGTATCTTTTGGTTCCTTTGCACGGTGATAGAGTCAGAATCCTCATGTATACCAGCAACATTTGAAGATTAGTTGCTTGCTGCAAATTTGATTCATGATGGTTTCAGTTTCCTTGTGAACTCTATTTGTTGTTTATAAGTTATAACGATTGCTTCAATTATGATTCATTATAAAACCGTATAAACCTTTAGCTTAGTTCATTTAATGGTATCACGCTTGTGAGAACATTACGATAACTAATTATAACAAATTTATTATGTTACAATAACATAGTAAATTTAGTCAAAATAAAAATTTATGTCAAATTTATTTTGTCAAACAAAATTCTGACAAATTTATTTAATCAAAATAATAATTTATAACAAATATTAATTTCTCATCATAAAAAATTGTGACAAGTAATATTCTTTCACAATAACAAATTGCAATAAAATGATTTAGTCATAATAACAAGTTAAATTTAGTCAAAGTAAATAGTTATGTCAAATTTATTTTGTTCTAATATTTTGTCAAAAATAATTGTGACAAATTTATTTAATCAAAATAACAATTTATAATAAATATTAATTTCTCATTATAAAAAATTGTGACAAATAATATTCTTTTACAATAACAAATTGTAACAAAATTATTTAGTCACAGTAAAAAAGTTATAAAAATATTTAGTGTCGAAATAAAAGTAGTGAGAAAATAAATTTTGTTGTAATATGTCTTTTTATTACTAAAACCTTTTTTTATGTTATAATTTAACTTAATTGTGAAGAAATTTATTTTTTGTAATAAAATAATTATTTTATTTTAACAAATATTTTGTCTCTATGAGGTACATTTAGTGATGAAATAGCAACTGCGAAAAAATAATTTTTTGTTGCCTTATGTATTTTCTTCACAAAAATTCTTTATATTTGATGTTTAAATAAAAGTTAGTTATGAAAAAATGCGCTTCTCGTGACGAAATGGTTAAATGATTGTGACAAATATTTTTATTGCGATAAGTTAATTATAGAAAGGAAATTTCATTATTACAATAAATATTATGTTATGGTAACGAACACAATTTTGTCACAATATACTTTACATGACAAGGTTGTTCTAACAAACATGGTAACAAATAAATTTGGTCAGAATAAATATATCGTGACAAATTTAGTTCTTTTAGTGATAAATAATTTTGTTGAAACAATCTAAATTTCTTCTAGTGTGTGCTTGAAAATGTCACAGAGAATGTCGACTTTCTTATTTTTCCTACTGATTTCTATGGCATCAACATGGAAAATGATAGAACGAATACTTGTTTCGAGGTACTTTTAGGCTAACCCTTCCTAAGCACTGCGTACAAAAGATCAATGTGAGAAGCATTATATTAACAATGGAGTTTAATGGTGAGATTGTAGAGTTGAAATATGTCGATATTATTTATCCCTTAATTGATAAATTTGTTGAATCTAATCTTTCTTATAATTTTTATAGGGATCTTGAACTTTGTCGTAGAGAGGAAGAAAGGGAGTTTGAAAATATTTTTTTTCTATCAATTCTAACTTATTTCTGACTTCCTCTAAAACTAAAATGTTACCTTCTGTTTTGCAGGAACCTGAGATAAAGTTAAAATAGTTACGGGAGCACTTGAAATATGTCTTTTTGGGAAAAAATGAAACCTTACCAGTGATCATCTCAAACAAGTTATCCGAAAAAGAAGAGAAAGCGTTGGTGAAAGTGTTGCGAGCGCACAAGGAAGCCATAGGATGGACTATTGTCGACATTAAGGGACTTAGTCCTTCAACTTTCATGCACAAAATCAATGTTGAAGAAGGTACAAAGCATCACGAGAAGGTTAACACTGATTAAATCCACCAATGATGGAAGTAGTAAAGAAGAAATTTCAAAACTTCTTGATGCCGATGTGATCTATCTTATATTTTATAGTAATCATATAAGTCGAATTCATGTAGTCCCAAGAAAATGGGAGTCATAGTGATCGAAAATCAAGAAGGGAGTTAGTGTCGACAAGAGTTCAAAATGGATGGCGAGTTTTTATTGATTACAGGAACTTGAACTCTCTCACTAGAAAAGACCATTTTCCTCTTCTCTTTGTAGATCAGATAATTGAGAGATTAGCTAGGAAAACTCATTATTGTTTCCATGATAGTTTTCCAGGTGTTTTGTAGATCTCGGTGGTGCAAGAAGACCAAGAAAAAACAATTTTTACTTGTACATTTGGTGCATTTACATATCGGTGAATACCCTTTGGCCTTTGTAATGCGTCGGCCACATCCAGATATGTATGCTGAGTATTTTTTTGATTATGTGGAGAAGGGCATCGAAGTTTTCATGGATGACTTCACGGTATATGATAATTCTTTTAAGTGAGTGTCCTGATAATTTAACTAAAAATGCTTAAGAGATGCTTAGAATTTAATCTTATCTTGAACTACGAAAAATGCCATTTTATTATTGATAAGGGATTAATTCTAAGACATATTGTTTCGTCTAATTGAATTGATATTGATAAAGACAATACCGATATTATACTCTCACTACTTTACCCCACAATTCTGAGAGAGGTTCGTTAATTTCTTGGCAATGTAGGTGTCTACCGAAGATTTATTAAAGATTTTTCAAAGATGAAGCGGCCGTTGTGTGAGCTGCTGCAGAAAGAGAAAGTCTTTGACTTTAATCTTGAGTGCAAAAAATCATTCGATGTACTTAAAGAAAATTTGATCACAACACCAATCGTCAAAGCGCCAAATTGGGAATATGGTTTTGAGCTTATGTGTGATGCATCGAATAAGAGCGTTGGAGTCATTCCTAGACAAAGAATAGGTAAAGAACCGCATGTTATTGCCTACACTTCACAAACCCTAGAGTTGGCTAAAAAAAAAATTTCCACAATAGAAAAAGAATTACTTTCTATTATCTTCGCTTTAGATAAATTTAGATCTTATTTACTTGGAACTAAAGTGGTTTTTTTCTGACCATACAACTTTAAAGTATATGATGAGCAAAAAGGACGTGAATCCAAGACTTATCAGATGGATCCTTCTTTTACAAGAATTTATTTTGGAAATTAAAGAAAAGAAGGGATGCAAAAACTTAGTTGCAGATCATTTGAGTTGCATTCCCCTTTCTATAATCGATCTGTCGCTTCGAGAAAAGTTCTTAAGGAACGTTTGATGTTGGTGCAAAAGATGATTCCATGGTTCGCATATATGGTAAATTATTTGGCCATATATAAATTACTTGTAGACTTGCCTAAATATGAAATTAATTGATTAAAGAGGGAGTCCCATTATAATATTTGGGATAATCCTTATTAATGGAAGCACTAATCGGATCAGATAATTAGGTGACGCATCGCTAAAGAATAGGTAAATTATATCTAAACTTTTGTCATTCTTATTCATGCGGTGGTCACTTTGTACCAAAGTGAACTGCCCATAAAATTTTGGAATGTGGTTTCTTTTGGCCTACTTTATTTCGTGACTTTTTTTTATTTTGTAAATCATGTGAGAAGTGTCAAAGTGAAGGGAACTTAAGACAAAGGAATGAATTACCTCAAAATTTGATTCACGCCTATGAGATTTTTTATGTGTGGGGAATATATTACATGGGTCTTTTTACTTCTTCATTTGGAAATATTTATATAATTTATATTGTTGATTATGTTTCTAAATGGGTAGAAGCTAAGGCTACTCGAAATAATGACGCTAGAACCACTGTTAATTTTTTGAAAATTTCTATATTTTCTAGATTTTGCACACAACGAGCGATAATAAGCGATCAAGGACCATACTTCATCAACAAGATAATTGACGTGCTCATGAAAAAGTTCGGGGTGACTTAATGAATTGCCACTGCTTACCATCCATATACCAAAGAACAAGAGAAAGTATCAAACTATGAGATTAAAGCAATTCTTGAATTGTAAAGTCAGATCATAAAGATTAGAGTCTCAAGCTATCCGACTCATTATGGGCATATTGAACTGCTTATAAAGGTCCCATTGGAATTTCACCGTATCGACTCGTCTTTGGTAAGCCATACCATTTGCTAGTTGAATTGAATTATCGAGCCTATTGGGCGGTAAAATAATGGAACATAGACATGGAAGCGATCGACGGGGCGCAAAAGTTAGACATTTAAGAATTGGAAGAAATCCGAAGGAACGCTTATGATAATGCCAAGATATTTAAAGAAAAACTAAAAGAATATAATGACCGAAAGATTTCTTTTAAATCATTTGTTGTTCAAATAAATGTTCTTTTATTTAATTCCAAATTTAAACTTTTTGCAGGTAAGCTGAAGTCAAAGTGGCTCGGACCTTATAAGGTAACTAAAATATTTCCACATGGTGCTGTAAAGATTGAAGATGATACGAGATATCGTTTAAAAGTAAATGGCCAAAGATTGAAGCCTTATTACGATAACACTTCAATCGGATAAATTGAAGAAATTAAATTGGAGGAGCCTGAGATCTAAGAGAAACAAGTTGTCGAGCTAACGACGTTAAAAAAAGCACTCATGGGAGGCAACCCATATTTTTAATTTAATCATTTCTAGTTTAATTTGTTTTCAATTTTAGTTTGTTTGGTAGTTTTATTTCATTATTTTTAGCATTCTTAATTTTTAATGTTTAATTTTTTAGGTACCCCGTTATTCCTACTTGAATTTTAAGCAACATGGAATCAAAAATTGTTTGAACCAAAAGCAAGAAAATAGTGAAAACTTATCCCAGGCGTGAGAAGAGTCTCGTGGAAGCAAGCAATTTTTGCTTGATATGGTGGAGTATACCGTTTCATTAACGATGCCCCAACATTGTACCTCCTGGCACAATTACGCCTTACTACGAGCGAGTATTCATGAAGAGGACTTACCCACCACCAGCACCAGTGGCAAGATCATAATCAGATGTGTGAGATGAGATGCAAGGTGCACAAGGTCATCTCGCTTCCATAGAGACTGGTCTCATTTAGATTATATCTTACCTTCACCGGGGCTCATCTCGAATGGCTGTAACCGTGGCCGCCACTAGATCGGGGAGTATTCCTTTTCCCTCTTTT